TCTTGTCCAGTGTCCACAGATTTTCTTTAAGGATACACAGCACACCGCACTAAGATATGCCAAAGTTTCATGTTGCGCCAAGAATACTATTTATTTTATGCCCATCGTACAGTGTTGCCATTAGCCTTTTTTGTGGATTCACCCAAACAAATGGCAACAAACTATATGTTTGGTCTAGTTTTTCAATGTAAAAATATATAAAAAGAAATATAAAGAAATAAGGAATGGTTCAAGACTTTTGCTCAGTGCTGTATAGATATAAAAAGACCACTTTGGACTGAAACTTGGATGTTTCACTATTTTTTTTGACAATACATAGAAAAAGTATAAAAGTATTCAGCAAATTCATGAACAAAAAATCTGATCTAGCATTAACTGTTGTAGTTTTTCTTCTTTTTGTCATGTACAGTACAGGGTGAATATTCCTAAATATACTGCATATCTGAATAGAACTAAGTTGTGTCAAATAGGAGTCATATTCCAAAGCTCCTTTTCCCATGTTTAGGTTAATCCAACTATGTGTTTGTTCACCAGCCAAGTGTTAACAGGGGTTTCCAGAACATGCCAACCTGCTGTGAAGTCTCTATGATGGAACAGCTTCACATTGTTCATGCCACAGAATTTTGATTTGAATGTAAATTATCCAAAAGTCTTCAAAGTATCCAAAAAGCAGAGGGTGCCACATTGTCTGTGCGATTCACTCAAACAGATTTTCCTCAAATTATGTTTATTTATTCATTTGCCTGCAAAGCCTGTGGAAATGCAGTTCAGCTGACTACTACTGTTAGAAACAGTGCATCCATGTGCTTAAATATAGACTGGTAACAATTTGAAGGTAGCTAGTGAAATCACATTTTGCTAATAAAATGGAGTCTAGTTATACTTATTGTATTATAATTGTATAATGTACATTACCGGTACTGACAGTCATTCTGCTACATGTTTTTTCACCTAATGTTTCATTATTATTGAATGCACCTTCAGACAGCAGCTCTTTAAACCTGCACTCGAGCCAGTGACTCAGTGTTTTTGGTAAATGCAGTAAATGTGATAATATTGTCTTTTCTTTTTTGTTCTTTTGGTAACAATCATTAAGGGAGAAGATCAGATAAAACACCATCAGCGTTGTCAGAAATTGTGCTTTCACCGTGAAAGAGCATTGAAATGTCTTTATTTGAGAAAAGTCAGTCACGTGTTAACAAAACATAGTTGATCTAGTGACAAATGCAGTGTAACATGCTGTTTCAGCAGCATAAAAATAGCTACATGTGGAGATGATCGTTTCACATATTGTTGATTGGCAGGACTGATGATATTTAGTGTCAATTGTGCTTCTAAAAACAAGTCTATAGTAAGATCAGAAGAGGAGAAACACTATGTTTGGGTAAGTGTAGGAAGTAAGTGGGTAAGATGGCTGAATCACTGTGTTGTCTACATCTCCATTAGCCTTGCTGGCAGTTATGGAATGTGCAAGACTTTTCCAGATCTGTTGGGAAGAGAGGCAAACAAAAACAATTGGAGAATGTCGAGTATGAATGTTATTTTATCTGGTACAAGATGGTACAAAAGTAACATTTAAATGCTAAGTAATTTCTGCAGTAGTACAAACCTGGAGTAGTTTGGCTGCAATGTCTCAGTGCCTTCATGGCGTTCATGTAAGGAATTCCCAAAAACTGCTCATAGGTTGTTCCCAGTCGTACCTCCTGGAGACACTTAGTGGAGTCCTTGAAGAGGAGGTTCTTTCCATTTTCTGACTGGAACATTCTGAATGAAGGATCGGTTCCGCTGTTTCCAAATCTGGCCTAAGAACAAAATTTAGGTTTGAAGCAGTTATTTAGTTTTTAGATTTCTATTACACTGGTTACTTTACTCTTTGAAACCAGCAGAATGTGGAAAAACAGAAGTCATCATGACTTTTGTAACTATTGGTTTTTGAAATGCCAAGGTCCCCCCCCCACTTGAGATCAAGTGCAAGTACAGTCATCAAAAAATAAAGTTTTCACAGGACTCTATGCAGTTGTGACAAACTAAGTACACTCCATGATTCAGTAGCAAGTAGAATCAACTTTGGGAGCAGTAACTTGAAGTGTTTGTGCCACGTTGCTGTAAAAGAAGCCCAAATCAACACCCCCCCCACCACCAGTTTCTACTAGGTGTTTGTGCGAATATGCTATGTTTGATTTTCAACAAACGTGGTCCTGTACATTAAGGCCAGACCTTTCCACTTTGGTCTCGTCCGCCCAGAAAACATTGTTCCAGAAGTCTCTTGGTTTGTTCAGATGCAACTCTGCAAATATAAGCTGTGCTGCTATGTTCTCGGTAGAGAGAAGCGGCTTTATCTTTCCAAACAAGCCACATTTGCTCAGTATTTTTCTAATTCTGCTGTTATAAGCTTTAACTTGTTAACTGAGGCCTGGAGAGTCTTAGATGTAGCCCCTACAAAGGGACAATGTTAAAGTTGTCAGAGTTAATTGGCAACTATTTGGAAAATCGGTTAAAATTCATTGTTGTGCTCAAAACAGAATGCCAAACAAACTGTATGCAGCTTCTGTAATGACAGGATGCTTCTCTATTTCAGACTCAGCATCCGTGTCGGCTAGAGAAGTTGAACCTTGATGTAAGATTTTTGCACTGGGAATTCAGTGCTTTGAAACAACAACAATTTTATATTAAGCTCTTATTTCATTTCAAGTAGCTATCTTAGACTTTATCACAAACCTGCTGTTCCTGAAGGATGCGGACCACCTTACTGTGGCTTTCTGGGCGAGTCACCACAGCGTGTGCAGGCACCTCAGCCAAGTTACAAGTGGCATAATCACTGATCTCCACTGGTCCTTTCCCAGGGCAGATGAGCTGGTAATCAGAAGATCTCAGATTACGAGCCCAGTCTGGACCGTTACCTTCGATAAAGAGAGGTGGAATAAAGTTTAGAAGCTGTTGTAATGTCATCGGAGCAGGTAGTGCAGATCAGTGCAGTCCTCTTACCATCGCTGTTTTCTGTCACAATTGTGTGTTTAATGAAGGCAACATCACCACCACCCTCAACCAGACACCTGTAATGATATGCCATACATCATGACTTTGGAGACAAAGAGTGAAGTTGGGGGTAAATGGCTAACCAATTAAAAATTACACCTTATCATTGCTAAAGTTCACAAAAATTTTAAAAACGATTAAAAAGTTCTGGTTTTAGGAGGAAAACATGCTTTAGCTCTTGACACATTCTTGGCTGTTTACAAAAGAAATATATAAGAAAAAAAACATAACAGTAGCTGGCAAGATTGAGAAGAGCCGGTTCTGTTGTTTTCCAGTGCTTCCCGTCTCTTTGCTAACTTTCTCCTTATACACAAACTTGTATGCGATGCCATTCTGTTTCTTGCTGTACCTAAAGGCTCCAGCATAACCGTAGTACTTCTCATCCGCGCTGGCTTTGCATTTGGCCTGGTCTCCCACAGCTTTACCGCTGCCGATGCACAGAGAACAGAACGGAGAGTTGGGCTCTGCTCCGGGGGCACAGCCACTACTGAAGAACTTGGCTGATGAGAAGAAGAGATGCAGAAAGAGTTCCACAATCAGCAAACCTCTTTTGTCAAGGTTAATGGAAGATTGTGGCTTTTGTTTAAATATAGATTCATCACGCGAGTCATCTAAACAAACTTTTTTAGAAAAAGGGGAGATGTATGATTTCTGTGGGTGGCTTTAAATTTCTTTCTGTTGGTAAAAGAAGGAGAAGCTCGCAGTCACTCACTGAAGTCACAGTCTTGTTGTCTTTCGTAGATTTGACCCATGGGGATGTTCCAGCCAGCAGTTCTGCCGATTCCTGTGTGGCAAGACTTCTTCCCCTTCAGATTCTCCCAGGTCACCTCTGAACCCTTCTTTACCACAGCAACAGCATAGTATGAGGAGGCTGTGACTGAGAGTGGATACGGA